TCCTAATGTCTATAGCAATAAGAACAGATTTTCTATAGCAACCGCCAAAAATACTTTACGTGATTCATAGGAGTGTGAAATTGAATGCCCTTTTTAATTCTTCCTGGTCTGTTCCTAATCCTTAAACTGTCAAACACCAAGCGGTCACCGGTGACCGCAACCTATTATTCTATAATTGTGTCTACAAAACCGGTACTCGACGAGTTAAGACTTAAAAGTAATAGTAATTTTTTGCCTTTATAGGGATTAACGTGTATAACAAAGCTAACAAAATGTTCAGTTTTATTATGTCTATTGTCAACAAACGTGTTTAAGTAAACAATTTTATCTAGTCATAGATTAACCCGTTTGTCTAAACGTGGTTCCACGCGAGACACAATGTATTTTCTACTAGCTTTTACCCGCGGCTTCGCTCGCGTCAGAAAAGGATAAAAGTAGCCTATGTGACATATACCAATACACACAGCGCCATCTATACCAATACTTTTGTTTTCCCTCGGGAATATCAATTTTTCCGGGATAAAAAGTACCCTATTATTTAATCTGGACTTCTAACTTTACGTCTGCAAAAAATCAAAGCAATCGGTTTAGTAGTTACGGCGTGAAAGCAGAACAAACAAACAAACATTATTATATTTTCGATTATGTCTCATAGACGGGCATTCAAGCGGTTAAGGAACTACATTTTATATTAGTCCATGATCTAGTAATGTAGCGTATGCAATTTTTTATACTTAATAGTGACACATTAAGACATTTATTTCATTGACACTTGTTAGAGTTCCGTATCTCAAAAGGAAAAAGCAACCTTTATCCTTTATCCGTTGTCCGCATGTTTATCATTCCTTTATCCGGTTAGTCACGTCGAAAAGTAATATCTAATAATCCGGTCCGCAATCTATCGATTGTTAAGTATTAAAAAATTTAATAGTGAGTCAACACATTCATCAAAAGATATTAAGTGCAATTAATTGCCGTGATATACGACCAATCAGCACGTCAAGTTAATTAAAAATCGCGGGTTACTCACGTGAATAAACTGAGAACAGCTCTACTAGTTTCGAACCACAGAGGGATTCTTCCTCATGAGCAGCGTGCGCGGTCGCGGCGAGGTCGCGCAGCTCACTGGCTGGCGTTGGCGCTCGTGTGTAACCCCCAGTTTTTAGTTAATTTAGTATGTCTCACGATAGTTATTATAAAAAACAGCACGTCAAGTGATTGAAACGCTTATAACATGTACAATATGTACTACTAGCCTCTGCTAGCGGCTTTGCCCGCGTTCCCGTGGGATAAAAAGTAGCCTATGTGTAATCCCAGACAATAATCGACCTCTGTTCCAAATTTCATCTCGATCCCTTCAGCCGTTTTAACGTAAAAGAGTAACAAACACAGAAACTTCCGCATTTATAGTATTACTAGCTTTTACCCGCGGCTTCGCTCGCGTCACAAAAGGATAGAAAGTAGCTTATGTGACATATACCAATACACACAGCGCCATCTATACCAATAATTTCGTTTTCGTGCACGTCGAGCCGGAGCCCCGGTTACCCGTTAGGTTCTCCGCGACAATACATATAGGATAGGATGAGTATATCATTTTCGATTTGCGGATACTTTCTAAAATAGTCATGGCTATCGGTAACCCTCGAAGACTCGAGGGTATTCGAGCCAAGTGTTGAAGGCTACTTTTTGAGTCCGAAGAGTCCCGAGGGCTTAGTTCAGCTAGTTCAGGTTGGTTTTACTTTTAACCGCTTGAATCCCCGTATATGAGACACAATAGAAAATACATTGTCTCGCGTGGATCCACGCTTAGACACACAACGGATTAAAGTAATCAGGAAAGAAACGGTGCAAAAATGCGATTATACAATGTAGCGGTTAATAAACTGACCAATTTTTTTTCTTTTAGTATTGTTATCAACCCAGACAGTAGCATGCTATTGCTAATTTTCTTTCACGGTCGTATTTACACGTCATTCGACATGTTAACATATCTTCACGCCGGTTTATTTACATCAGTACATAGTCGGTTTGCTAATTTTGAAGAAAATATTTTTTTACAAGCTTGCCTACCTTAGGATCGGTACATTTGTTATTTTTTACTGATGTCCAGTTGTAAGCACGAAATTACACACACACACATACAATAAGTAAAGGTTGACTAGTATTTTGATTTGCTACACCTGTTGAAAGAGACTGGAACATGCGACACAGTATGCTAGCGCGGGTTCCAGAGGCAACCGGAGCCTAGAAGCCTAGTAGCCTGTCTTTTTTATGGGATAAGCCGGGAAACGGGCAGACGGATCGCCTTACGATAACCGTGTTAGTGACACGACGAAACACAACGTAAGCCTTGTTTCACATGTCGCGGAGAACCTAACGGGTAACCGGGGCTCCGGCTCGACGTGCAGGAGAAGGAACGGGGTGGTTTTTAGTCAGTAAGAGTCTGACACTCCCTCCCGCCTCACCCAGGCGGGAGCAGTCATTCGATGATTTTCCCCCCTTAAAAAAAGCCTTGTTTCACATCGGTTTAACTTATCTTTTAAGTTTCACTTATCTAAATAAAAATAATTCATAGTCATATACATGTATGAATATTGTAAGAGATGATTGTATGAGTGCTACACCGGTGTCCATGTATGATTTTATCGGAAATGTCGACGTCTCGGGTCGTAAGTCGATCGATAGTCGAATAATGTGATATATGTAAAAATTATATTTAGACTCGATAGTCTCAGACAACATTAAACTATACTCCCCAATTACAGAACTTATATTATTGTGATAAAGTCCATAATCTTTTGAAGGAACTATGCCTAAGTAACTTTTTTAATTTATTGTTTTTGTATATTTCATGTTTTTAATATTTTATGTTTACCTTATTTAGGTATTACTCATGGGCTTATTCTCATTAGTTTTAAAAGACGACGAAATTATGCTGTTGAGTATGCCTAAAATCGATTTTATCACGATATTATTCAATTATCTTAGGCAAAACTGCTGTTTTAACTCGGTGACACCCGGTAACACCGGTGACCGCTTGGTGTTTGACAGTTTAAGGAACAATGAGAGTTCGTACTATGTTTTTGCAGGTTAAGGCATTGGCTGCCAATAAAAAACTGTTGAAGGCAAATCCTCCGCTAATGTCGGTCACCAGTGACTGCCATGGCGTTTAACGTGTTAAGGACAAATAAATATTGCTCGTAGATATAAAACATTTTCCTTGCAAAAAACCAAAAGCGTCATTGTTACGTAGGCACATGTTACATGATTCTTTATTATTATTTGTGTCCGTCCTGGGGAATTTCTTATCCTACGTTTTCCTTCTGGTGTCGTAGAGACCGACTCAGGGACTACACATTTGACAGAGCCCGGACAGCAGCGCTCTCTAATAAACCTGAGGCCTTAGTACGAGTTTCTTTTACGTTTAAAGTAATCGTAACGAGTACGTGTTCGGCGCTGTGATTGGCCGGCTCCAATGAACCAACCAATCAGAACACAGAACGCCGTCTCATTTCAATTACTTTAAACGAAAAAGAAACTCGTACTAAGCCCTCTGAACCTGCACGGGTGGGCGCGGGCGCCGTTCCGCGGCCACTGCGGCGGGTTGCACCCGCGCGCTCTGCGAACGGTTGGCGCAATGGGACGGCCGGTCTGGAACTCAATTGATTGTTTAACCATCCATCTTGCGATAATCAATCGCCGAGTTTGCAGGCTAATCGCAACCGCGGCGGACCGCAGAAAACTGCGATCTCGTGAGTTTTGAAAATAAATCACCCCGGGTAAAAATCGCGTCGTGACTCCGTAGCCTTAGTCGGCCTTGCCGCGGAGAACCTAACGGGTAACCGGGGCTCCGGCTCGACGTGCAGGAGAAGGAACGGGGTGGGTTTTAGTCAGTAAGAGTCTGACACTCCCTCCCGCCTCACCCAGGCGGGAGCAGTCATTCGATGATTTTCCCCCCTTAAAAAAAAAGCCTTAGTCGGCCATAGTCGCACCCGCAGGAAGAGTAGGAGAGGTGACAAATGCTATCTACGTTACCGTCATCACAAAGTACCTAACTGTTGCCATCCTTTAGTAAAAAAAAACTCCTAAAATGAGTGCCTAAACCTAAAACTTGGTCACTAGTGTAATCATACTCCACGATCTAAGTGTTGCGTGCAGTCCTTACATAATTTCGTTTTACAATCCGTTGACTTAAGTCGCCCTTCATGAAAAACCTTGCCTTGTCTTTAATATGTATTAAGGCCACACATGGCAAGCTTTAAAAACATATTTTATACTTCTATAATTCATGTCTTGATACTAGTCTAACAAGGTCGGTAAAAGTATTCATCATCATCATTATCAGCATGGTGACATCTATTGCTGAACGGAGAAGGCGCTCTGATTGGTTGGTTTATTGGAACCGGCCAATCAGAGCGCCGATCGAGGTCTCGTTTCGATTACTCTAAACGTAAAACAAAAACAAATCCCTCGAGTCTTCCTCTACATAAAAGGTTTTGCCATAATGTCCACCCTCGGCAGGCTGATTGGAAACCGATAGATGGATAGGGGCGGTATTTTACTCCGCCATCAACACCTTCACACAGAAAAAGTATAGTAATCATTTTAAAGGTTCTGGTAAAAACCGATGTTCAAAAGTGAGCATGAAGGATCCAAGGTATCCTTATAAAGCATTCGATTTATTTCCTTGTCTTCGGTTTCAAACTATTTACTTATTGTTTCGTGCCTGTATGTCGTGATAATTTGTTATTTATTCTCAAACTCAACAATACAATATCTGATTCAATACAATTGACAAACAATGCTCGAGCGATACGAATAAATTATTGGAAAACCGTGAATGCATATTTGAATTCTTCCCTTTGTTCGAAATTCTAATGTCTTCGAGAAATCCACATTGAATACGAGGCCTGTAAGGCTGTAAATGTCAGTCTCCTATTATAGTCTTTAAATAATAAGTTGGAGTTTGCTTTATATCTTGGTTTTTGTGTTTTCAGATCCTGATTGGCATAACATTGATGGTGTGGGTGGTGCAGAAGGCGCGCAAAGAGCTGACGATAGCCATTATGGCGGCGGAATTAGGTCGGGAGACGATATCCACCTCCACAAGCTCCTCAATCAGCTAGCCAACACCCAGGGCTTCCACAGACGTGGACAGCGTCTCCGAGGAACCGTCGAGCTAGGGCTGGCCCTACGCCTGCTTTCGACACACGTTCGAAGCCCGCGATGAAGAAACTTACGTATGAAATAAAGGGTTCGTTACAACCCTGTGATATTATATTATAATCGCCATGTTACCTCCAAGAGGATTAGATTAAACTGACATGTGAGGAACTCGGAAGGTTATCGTTGATATTTGTGAGACTTTCCTTGTATTATATTGTTTATCGACATAGGTGAGTAGTAGATTATGTATATGTGATGTGTACTAATGAATCTCGCTCAGTAACTGACTGACGTGTATGGAATACTTAGTTTGACGTTTGACAGGAGAACCCGTGCCTCAAGACAAGGTTCATTGCCAACGACGCAAGAATTTTGAGTCGCGTTAAAAAGATTTGCGTGCGAAATTAATACACGATTGTTTCCATGAAGTTTACGATTGTACTCGGATATTTTCGTAAACGTTCGTCACAAATGTTTTATTGTAGGAAATACCGGGAAATAAATTCTAATTTGCTCGTTTTACGCTACTGCCGTTCATGTCACATGAGACTTTTGGCAAATACCAGAGATTGGGATATGTCGTCGAATATTGGGTATTGATCATTATCCAGATTCGTCTGGAAACATCTGAAAACCACGCAAGAGTCTTGTTAGGTTATTGTAATAAATAATTGTTAAGAGTAAAATCTAGATGATTAATATCTTCTGATGGCAGCTAAAACATTTTAATTTATTGAATTCTTACCGCAAAAAGATATTTTTAAATTTTTAAAAATATTCCTGTTCACGGGTACAATCACTGTCAAACGTATTAAGGGTAATTGTTAAAAAAATACACGTGCAAACAAATACATGCTCAAATAGCAAATCACAAATTAATAAGCAAACCTAAAAAGTAAAGAGTATATTTGACAATTATTTATTATAGAACCATTTTGCACGAGTAATTTTATTATTATTATATTATCAACTGATAATTCAAACACGTCGGAGGTCGGGACAAGGTCTGTTTTATTACGGAACCAAATAGCTTAAGTGAGTTGCACATGTAATTATGTACTCTATGGTGTATATATAGAGTCCACTTAAAAGTAAAACGCTAGCTAAACAGATAAATGGAGATAACTCATTTCATGAAAACCCCGGGTCGTCATAAACGGCCATTTTTAGTACATTATTGACATTGTGTCAATAACATTCCTCGAGTGGAGTTTATTCAAGTTTAATTGTGTGATAGGAATTTGGTATCTCCGTTTTTCTCTTCTGATATACAATAGTTTAAGGAAAACCAATATATTGTATGAAATGTACATAGTCGGTAGATTTTCCAGTTGGGTACCAGACAATTTATTTTTCAACGGTTTTTTCAGCAAATAAAATACTTTTCGGAATTTATATTCGTAGTGTTTAGTATTAATGTTGTTGCCAAATTTTATCGCAGGTACAAGAGTTTGTATATTTTACATATTAAGATATTTTTCTTTTTTTAGATGATTCTTTTCGTGATGATCCTGGGCACAATAATAATTATGTTTCATTAACTATGTCTTTTAGCTAGAACAACACTTGTTAATGTGTTATCAATAAGACAACCTTTAAAAACACAAATCTATTCTAGTTTTCTAACAGCTGTTGTGAAAAATAACACAATTTTCGTAAATAGAACGTAGTGTCACAATTAACTTTTAATTTAACAAGGAAAAATGCATTTACACACGTACGTATCGCGTTATTTTTGCCCATCTGTTTCGTGGATCTAGTAGCGTGACTTGCGTGCTCCCTCTGGTGTATTCCAACATAACAATTTGCATTATTCCACTTAATAATATTCGTTTAAAGTGTACACTAATAAAATTAATAGCCATTTCTATTTTTGTTATTATACATTTGTGAATAGCTTCAGTTTTAAATGAAATATTTCTATATTTTATCGCCATTTATTTCTCAGTACATGTTAATTAGATATTATAAATCAAAACTCTTTTGCCTGCGACTGTACGCATTCTTTTGATGCCAATACAATTTTTTTGTATTACTAAAAGTATTTGGCATTTATTCTTATGAAATCGAGACTAAGTATCGTCGCGAACAGCGAAAGTATTAGTTGTACCTATTAATTGTTATAAACATAATATGGTACATCGGCAATGTGATTATGACTTTAAATAAAGAACGATTATGTTTCCTTAAATATTTTATAACCGCCATCGGTAGTTTAACCTATTAATCATATATTCTGATTTGTGTTGCTTTTTTGATTAAATAATAATAACTTATCATTACGTGCAATATTTTAATGAGATTCTTACTGATCTCGATTTTGGTGTTGATTAGAAATAATATTTATTCATTTTTCTTCTGCTTTTTTAAAATTATTACATAACGTTTTGTGATATTTTGTGTTCACTATTTCTTTGTTACTAAATCAATTAGTTTCTTATCATGATAAAATTTTGAATATTTTTAGCATTTCTTTTCAAAAACATATTTTACTGTTAGTACCTATTTATTTAATTATTACAAGAGACCATTAAAAATTGATTCTTCCTATAAAACCTAAAGACTGATTTTTGTTTGAATTAATTTCCTATGCATTGAATACATTTTTAGGCTTCTTATCTTAAAATATGTTCTTAAATTATGAATTACATGACTTCTTATTATTTTTGGCGATGTAATACTAATATTTTATTGAAGAGGAATTAATATAAATATATAATTTTAATTCATAAAGTATAATAATCTGTGTATCAGTCATATTTTATATTTATACAAGCATCAAATGTGTGGAAATCTAACAAAAAATATGATACTTTTATAAACTAATAGATACAATTTTATTTTAACAATTCTAACATCGAACTGTGCCATTTATTTATTTATTTAAATTAAAGAAATTATCTAAATTGTAATGTCTGAGCCACGGATACAGCGAAATGATTGAACATTACTTTCTACTCATTAGTAGGAAGGACCGAAAGACCTGTGAAGTGTAAAATTTCATAGTCTGGCGCCATCTTTTTCTGGAATACAAATGTAGCCAGCGCAATCTTTTTATTTATTTGCGTGGAATAATTAACTCGTCGGGTACCGGTTTTGCAGACACAATTATAGAACAATAGGTTGCGGTCACCGGTGACCGCTTGGTGTTTGACAGTTTAAAAGTGTCACTCGATCATTTTCTATATCTGTGGTCGTTTGCTCTGAATGGATTTGGAAAATTAATTTGTAATTCGTGTGCATAAAATAATTACCTAATTACAAAACATTAGAATTGTGTGCAATGAATCTGTGCAATAGGTTTTACCGAATCTATCTTTATTACAGTTTTGCTTCATTTGTTTATGTAATTAATGTGTACCAGCATATCATCCTACTCTAATTTATAACATTTTGAGAAATGTAACTGCTTGGCAGTTCATTACCTCTTCTTCTTCATAAGAGGGTTTGCCAACATAATCTTCTCATATTGGTAGGCGTCGCGTCGCTACCCTTTCTCTAATCAGTTGGGTTACAAAACCGGCAGGAAGAGTAGGGGTACAAGACCATACAGTTAGAATAGAGTAGGTTGATGTGCCGGTCACCTCACACTTTCAAGGCCCCAAGCCATTGCCTGATATTGCTCATGGTAATGTTTGTACAACCACTAAAAGTCGGCTAAAATATTAAACAAAATCTAGGTTTACCTTTATAAAAATAATTTGTAAAAAATATCTCATATTTTGTATAAATTACTATGATTTAACATCGTTTGTTAATATAACCTGTGCCAAATTATTTTTAAAATTAATTCTGGCTAATTGTTGTAATTTCTCTTTGTAGTTACTTGCGTGTTAGCCAAAATATTTCAAGGTTTCCATTAAGTAATTTTCTCTGATTAAAATTGTGAATCATTTACTGTTTCAAGTAGTCCCTTCATATTTCCATTATCTATTAGCTAAAAATTATTGTCTTGTTAAATGTATGTAAATAATTTCGAGTGTGGTAACGTTGAAATCAACTGTCATAAAAAAAATTAAATGTAAAATGTAACGATTTCGATGTAACCATAACGTTGTCGACTTCTTCAAATACATTTTATACTTTACTAAAATGTTTATAAAGGTGATGCTTAAATAACCATACCTATGCTCAGAAACTTGGAGTTATTTCACTATTTTTGTAATGAAAAAACTTAATATTATAGTCTAAAAAATAATGCATTTATTGTTAACGAATTTATTTTGTGTTACTTTTATTAATAAATCCCACTGTTATTATTTTTAATACTTGTTGTAAAGTACGTAGCGATTCACTTCGATATTGTACAATATGGAAAAATGGTAAAAGGAGCCTTATACTAGATGTAATAAAACATTCTCTATTACTACGTAGTTTTATTGGCCGTATGTTTACGAAACCTTCCTTATCATAATCGCCCCTTTCATGCCGAACGTCGAACGAATTGACTTGATAAGCTGTAGTTATAATAACATGGTGTTTAGAAGTAATTGCGTAACTAATTGGAATAAATTGAGACATACAAAAAATAATTCAAGCATGTTATTTTAAGTTTGAAAATTTTAACCAGCAAGAAAGTAATGTATAGTTTATAATGCTACGATAAAAACGATAAAGTTAATTGCTCTAGGGCACAAAACTTCAGAATACCTGATGTAGAAATTGTTTTATTTTTGACATCATCGTGACTTGGTAATGAAATCCGAAGAAAGAGCTGTGTAGTAAATAGTCGTAAATAGGATAGTCAAGGTAAGATTATAAATACATTATTAACAAAAATAAATACGGTAGACTTTTAATTTTTATGTGCCAGTTGCGGATACTAGACGAAAACCAAGAAGAGAATTTAGTAATATAGTAATAATAGCACTGGCAAGGTAATTAGAAAGATAAGCTATATTATTTTATGCAAACATTATATCATAAAATAAATTATAGTTCTTTAAAGTAATCACAACTTCGAAAGAGCGAACATTTTCATAATTTTTTAATCTGTTAGGTTTCTAAACTTTTCTGAGCAATTTCTAAACGAAAAATATTAATATGTCGTTGTTTCTGATCGCATTAACTAACTGTCATTTTTCATTATCATGGCGGAGGACGAGGATGGTGTTTCAAATAAAAAGTCGCCTCAAAATACAAATGAAGGAGCACCATCGCAAGAAAATGAACAGAATGCAGCAAAACCTGACTTAGGTATCGAAGAAGCAAAGTACAATAGCAATGAAAATGGTGACGCATCGCATGCGGAGGCGAAAAGTTCTACCAGTGAGTTTACGAAGTTGTTTTTTGTCCTAAATATAAGGCATTCCTCATCAACTGTTCCTTTTTCTTCCAGAGTCTACAGGGGCGACGCGGAAAGATGAGAACCCGTTTTCGTTTCGGCATTTTCTGAAGCGGGATCTTTCGTTGCCGGGTAACTCAACGTATGAAAACACTGGCGCCCGTCCGAAAGTGTATGCGAACACCGTGCAGCACTCCCCGACCAAGATAGACGTACATGCTGACTCGAGGCGGGAGAAGCCGCGCTCGAGCGACGCCCAAGCCAAAGAGAAGACTAACGAAGGCAGCAGCCATCGTATAAGTGACAACACATCCTCAAGTAGTTCTGTAGAAATACCTTTTAGTGTAGTGGATAACTCAGATTCTAAGCATAACTTTTACACGGACAATAATGACGTGCCGTTCTATCACAGACCTAATTTGGCTTCGGAGCCTCTCGGTATGCCTTCGTTGCCTGATTTCGTACAAGACCACATATTAGTGGAACAGGCATATTTGAACTTTAATGGGCCAATATCGGTGGATTTGGATAACTTACCGGACTTTACGTTTAATACTAGTTTCAATGCGGGATCGTCTTCCTCGTTGGGTAGAAGGAATAATAGTAGTTATGGTGGTAGGGGTTATGATTATGAATCGTATATGGGAGCGGCGTCTACATCGAATGAGGCTGGCCAGGCAGGCAGTGGGATGCCGCTGGACCTGCCGGCTGGTGCTGAAGCAGCAGGGCCTGTGCCCTTGGACCTGCCACCGCACCTGAGTCTGGATCTGACTGAGTCTGTGAACCCTGTAGATAGAAGGAATGTCTCTCCAAGAAGTAATTTCCCACTGGATCTGCCTCCTAATGCTGGTGAGTAGAATCTTATATTATAATTAACCCGTTGATATCCATCCCCTAAATTTGGTAATACAAAAGTATTCTCTAAACATTAGAAATAAGGTCTATAATGTAATGTAATATTAGTGGAAAGCGGTCACCGGTGACCGCTTGGGGATTTATGGATTAAGTAGGTAGTTTATTCTGTGATAGTGTTCTAAAGGTACTGTAAACTGAAACTGAAACAATATAATTGTAATGACAGTAACTTTAACTCTTATTGTACTGGAAATCAGGACATGCTACTTGAGCATGGAAGTAGCATATAGTTACCTCTGGCTATCTATAAAAAGTATGCAAATTCAAATGCAACCAATTTCTTTATGTCATCGTTTCGGAAGCTTTCTGTTTATCATCATCATCAACAGCCTATAAGTGGCCAATGCTGACCAAATGCCTCTTCTCGAACGGAGAAGGTTTGAGCATTAACCACCACCGCTTGATCAATGTGGAGATTTCAAACTAATAATTAGAAATTATAGGCCCAGGTTTCCTCACAATGTTTTCCTTTAACCTTTGTGAGTTCTCTTTACCCATGTATATTCTATTTATATATAGTATTATGTAACTACTGAACCAAATAAATACTTATTTTCATACCTCATTACTACTGTCACCAACATATTCAATATACAATGAATTAATTAAAAGAAATAGTCGTAAACAAGTGAATGACGTCACGACATTACTAAATTAATATCATTTGTATTGATATTTTAATAGAATTCAAACTTGTTGAGCCAATACTGCACTTGAGTCAAAGTATGTACAAAGTTATATGTACTTTCTAAGATTAATCAGACACCACTGACAAACTGTGAAGGGGGAAACATTGTGAGGAAATCTGAACTTATAATTTCTAGTTTAAAATCATTAGCCTGTGTTGAGCAAGCGTAGTGATTAACCTTTTAAATGCACCGATATGAGACAATAGAAAATACATTTTGTCGCTCATGGATCCACATCTTAGACACACAAAAGGTTAATGCTCAAACCGTGTGAGAAGAGGCCTTTGGTAAGCAGTGGCCAGTTATAGGCTGTTGATGCGTGATGATGATAGCACAAAGTTAGCAATTAAAGCAATATTATTGTTAAATATAATAACTTTCCACGAGTGGCTTCCTCACTGAATCAAAGGATGGCTTATACATATTAATACGTTGAAATTCATCCTCTAAATTTGTTCATACAAAAGTAATCTCTAAACATTGGAAATAAGGTCTATAATGTTATTAGTGGAGAGCGGTCACCGGTGACCGCTTGGGGATATATGGGTGTACTCCAGTCAAATAAGGACAAATATCACACCATATTTTTTTCAGTTCTGATATGAGAGAGACAAATAAACATAATTTTATTATTTATGTTATAACGTGGTAGTGCAATATGCATGTATTATATATATAAACATTCCTTAAGAATCACTCTATCTATTAAAAAAACCGCATCAAAATCCGTTGCGTAGTTTTAAAGATCTAAGCATACATAGGGACAGACAGACGGCGGATAGCGACTTTGTTTTATACTGTGTAGTGATATTATAACTTACGTAAGGCATACTACAATACTACCTTCACTTCTATTATAATACTAGCTTTTGCCAGCGGATTCACCCGCGTTCCTGTGGTTTAAGGAAGTAAGAAAGTATGTTATTCCAGACCAAAATATACCCCAAAATGTTCCAAATTTCATTCCTTCCAGCTGTTTTGTCGTGATGCCACGCCACCAGGATTATAACGTTACTGGCAGTAAAGAGATCAATTTGAGCACCGAATCTCATCTCAATTTATTCAGCAGTTTTTGGGAAAAAGTAACTCGATCAACTTTCGTATTTACAAAGTAGGATACTTAGAAATCCATCATTTGATTACGTGGTATTTTACTATCGACATAATAACAAACGTATTGTAAATAATTAACACATAATGGCCACTAAATAAATGTTTATTAAGCAGCGGTTCATTTCTCATGAACTTGTAGCATGCTAATAAATTAACGTTGCTATTGACGTGATTATTTTTTTATTATTCAACCACGCGCCTGTATGTCGTAGCGTGATGATAGTATGAATACATAGACACGATTTAACTCGTCGAGTACCGGTTTTGTAGACACAATTATAGAACAATAGGTTGCGGTCACCGGTGACCGCTTGGTGTTTGACAGTTTAACATCTTTTTATATAGGACTAACGACTTCCGCGCGGTTTCGTCTGCTCTGCTTGGCGCCTATTGTTCGTAGCGTGATGTTTTGTTGCCTATAGCCTTCCTCGTCGCGGAGAACCTAACGGGTAACCGGGGCTCCGGCTCAACGTGCAGGAGTAGGAACGGGGTGGTTTTTAATCACTAAGAGTCTGACACTCCCTCCCGCCTCACCCAGGCGGGAGCAGTCATTCTATGATTTTCCCCACTTAAGAAAAAATAAAAAAGCTTTTCTCAATAAATGGACTATCCAACACAAGAATTTTTTAAATCGGAGCAGTCGTTCCATAGATTAGCGCTTTCAAACAAACAAACTCTTCAGAGGCCTTAGTACGAGTTTGATTTACGTTTAAAGTATTCGAAACCAGTACGTGTTCGGCGCTGTGATTGGCCAGCACCAATGAACCAACCAATTAGAGCGCCGAACGCGGACTCGTTACGATTACTTAAAATGTAAAATAAACTCGTACTAATGACTCAGATTCATAGATATAAAAAGTATAAAGGCCAATTTATCCAACGTCAGTAAATTTTAACTGAGGAACTTTGAAAATTTGAGTATTTCACAAATCTTTCATATTAAAAAATAATTTTATTCAACAGTTCAAGAATAACTGATGATTGAAAAATCGGCTCTAAGATAGGATAGGCAGAAGGTCGTACTTCATATTTGACTCATTCAAGTTATGATAAAGGGCACAGTTAGTTATGAAATATCGTAAACCGAAATCCCAATATTTTACCTGACCTAAGAATTTGAGTCGCGGTATTTTAGGCAGTTGCTTTCCATACAGTCAAAAATGTACTTAAGTATAGTGAATTGTGTAGCTGTAATGGAATTAGAAAGTAGATAAAAAAATATTTGGGGCATCTGGTTGATATTATAACGACGCTCCAGAAACGTTTCTAGTTTTTTATTTTTTAAACATATTATAGCCAACCATGTTAGGCAAGTTCTCACCCTTGGGTTTTCGAAATTTTCGATTATGGTATCCGAAATTTAACCTAGAATGTTCTCAGCAATACAATGTTTGTGAATGGTCATATCTTACTATCTTACGTCTTACTAATATTATAAATGCGAACATTAATTTGTGTTTGTGTGTATTTATGTTACTCAATTACGTCAAAACGGCTCAAGGGATCGGGATGACATTTTTAACAGAGGTAGATTATGGTCTGGACTGGAATAACAGATAGGCATAAAAATACCTTTCAATACCACGGGATTGCGGACGAAACCGCTGTCATAAGCTAGTCATTACATGTAATTATGTAGGTAACATAAGCACCATTGTCTAACTTTAAATCTACAACCGAATCATCTTCTCCCTAAAAGAATCCATAACACATTATGGCAGAAGCCAGTCACCCAGCTATGCATCAAACTGCACTCACCAATTGCCCTGGGTAGTCAGTTCCCGTGCAGGATTGACAGTTCATTAAACATACTCCCCTCTGTCCCCGACCATGTGTTACTCCAATGTCATTAAAATCTGTCTGGCTGCTTGTTTCCTTTTGTTTTATGGTGTTATGAAAAAAAATCAAATAGACATAGGTATTTGGTTTTTTGTTTACATTATTACGCCTTGTGTGTCTCGAAGGGGTAAAGACTCCTTCGATAGATATACTTGTTTAAGTATATTCTCTAGGTTATTATAATAGTAAAAATGAGTATGCTAAATGACCCTATAAAATTACATTACAGTGAGTAATTTTAAAACTAACTGCTTCGTCGTTCATTTTAATTAAGAGTATTATGACTCCGCTGGGGAATAAAGCCCGAGCGTGCGGCGCGTCGCGTTCTGCGCGCGCCTCGAAGAACCATCAGACCACCACAGATGGGGCCCAATTTTAAGTCGCGGTTAAAAACAGTACAGAACTATTCCTGTAACTAAAAATTCTTTGTAAAATGATAGAGATGGCATGATATTTAAGTTGAATTGAGTAGCCTTTCAGTTTAGGGTTAGTATTTGAAGCATTTGACAGTGTGTTTCTTACAAGCAGAATCTAGGACGTAGAGAACTATTACACATGCACTTCTAGCTACTGGGAATTACAAATGATTGTCACGTAATTACAGGAGCGGAGTCGATGTGCCTCCCGGATTTCCTACCGGTTCATCCGGGACGGACGTCACCGGAACCGGAGCATCAAGATGAACAGATGCAGCAGATTATGGCCGAGTTGGAACGGACCAGGTATGTCAGGCATTACCTAAACATTTTTAACATTGCACTTAAAGCTAATGATTAACCCTTTATTTGTATGAAATATAGTGCGAATCTTTTCAACCTACATATCTACGAAACGAATACTACAATAAGAATAAGATTTAAAAGGTCCCAATTGAAATTTTTCCGTAATTTTTATGATGTTTCTCAAAACAATTTTGAGTTGTCGAGATGTCGTTACTGAGTCCAAAAGTACTGCTAGTCCAGACTGCAATATCTGTTGCCCTCATAATCTTACTTCATATTATAAATGCAAAAGTTTGTGTGTGTTTCTTAGTGTGGCTCACTCACGACAAATCGGCTCAATGAATCGGGAAGACAGGGAATTCAAATAGGGTAGATGACTAATTTTTATTTTAATGTCAGTCGTGTAGATTATTTAAAAACATTAGACACGTATATTTTTTTACGGAAACGAATAGTTTGGAAGATATATTGATTTCAAATGTCGCGTGACGTCACTTCTATGTATATTTTATACGTAGAAATGACGTTTTAGCCCCCACTACTAAACTTTGATTCGTTATATCTAAGTATCATTTATACAACAAAATAATAAAATACGTGTCTATTACTTTTTCATTACTCATTGACAGACTAATTACATTTTTAATTTTCATACCCTGTCATCATCCCTATTCAAATGCATTTATTGTTTGTCACAAGTGTAAGTTCAGCTCTTAAAAATTAATGGCAGTCAATGAAAGGAAGACAATGGAACAGGAGTAGATTGTGGTCTGAAATGACACATCGGCTACTTTTATCCCCCGGGAACGGGGGCGAAGCCGCGGGTAGAAGCTACCAAATAAATAAACCAATTCGTGCATCAGAATTGTATAATAAAGATATGTATGTACCTTAGGAAGTGAATCATTGGTTATTCCAGGCTCAGGAGTTCGTTTAGTTATTCAAAGTTAGTGTATTAAATTAGTGAATATTATTCTTGACATAACACCTTCACTTCCCGACTCCGTGCTAAGATTTGTAATTGCGAAAGTCTAGATTTTATAACGAAATTAGAGCTTATAGTGCTTGCAATGAATTAAGTGGTTTTGTATTAGTTTGCGTGGTTTAATTTGACCAGTATACAATCAAATACTATTGTTTGCACTAGTCTCTCATAACATTACGCCTTTTTATCTCCGAAGGGGTACCCACCACTCGTCCAACGAGGCAGTCTTTGCACGACTTTATCACTATACTATAAACCTATGAAAGGTACACTGATGTAGGTTGACCTGCTACATCTACAGCGGTCACAAAGGATAGGAAAGGTCTTACAAGAAGAAATATTACAACTTACATTGTGAAGATTTCATATTAATTCAATATGACGGTATATATATAGCGATATTTTATTTAAATATGGAATTTAGTAAACTTTACTTACAAAATTCCATATTTGAATAAAATACAACATACATACTTTTTTAAAAAAGAGTAACGAATTTTTTTTTTTTTTTTTTTTAAGGGGGGAAAATCATCGAATGACTGCCCCCGCCTGGGTGAGGCGGGAGGGAGTGTCAGACTCTTACTGACTAAAAACCACCCCGTTCCTTCTCCTGCACGTCGAGCCGGAGCCCCGGTTACCCGTTAGGTTCTCCGCGACTCCGAATCGGCATCGGCCCTATTGGGCCCCATCTGTGGTGGTCTGATGGCTCTTTGAGGCGCGCGCGGAACGCGACGCGCCGTACGCTCGGGTCTGTTTCTGGTCGGACGGGGAGCCACCCATGCTCGCCGTCCGCAGGCCCGCGCTTACGGTGGCCGGAGATCGTCCCGCGATCCCCGACGCCCGGTGTGTCCTTCGCGATGGCTGGGTTGCGAGGAGGCAGCGCTTCGCTGCCTCACGCGTCCCGCCTCCTCCTTAGCTAGCATGACTGCTTCGCAAAAGGAGGAGACGGCATCCCAATCCCCCTCGCTCCGCATCATGGCCTGCACTAGGCCCGGACGCGAGAGGTCGCCATCGCCGATCACTTCCCTGAGGACACGGCGGTGCTCAGCCCACGAAGGGCATTCTCCCACCGTGTGTTCCACCGTGTCCTCAGGGCGGTCCTCGCAGTGATGACACCCGGGCGTTTCCTCCCGCCCCATCAGACACAGGTACCTCCCGAAACTTCCATGTCCGGTGAGGACCTGCGTCAGGCGGTAGGTGAGGACGCCGTAGCGTCTCTCAAGCCACTCCTCAAAGAGGGGACTTACCGCTGCGATGGCAGCGAGCCCAGCCCTCGGTTGCGACAGTCGTTGCTGCCATTCCGCCATGAGATCGCGCCGGAGCTCATCCCGCCACGCACCTATCTGGCGCGGCAGCGGGGTTTCGCCCCGGCGACGTGCCTCCGCGCGCATGCTGTACACGCGCGCGAGCACCTTCGCCTCCAGATCCCACGGCGGTAATCCGGCAAGGAGGTTCGCCGACTCCCCAGAGATCGTGCGGTATCCGCGGAATCCGCGAAAGAGTAACGAATGGAGTTTCTTTTTCGTTCTTCTCCACTCGAATCTACATTTTGGAATGAGCACCTAGCTTCACCTAATTTCACTGACGGACTGACTGACAGACTATTATTTATTTTGTATTTGTTGACGTTTCAAAACTATGGTTTAATTGAAATAAATGCTTTGACTTTGACTTTGAATATCGCGTTCCGGTGGGACAAAAAGTTTTGACTTGCTTGTTTTGTTTTGCCGTTTTGACGTGTTTGGGTAACAAACATACACACTAGTAGTATTTTAGTAAAATTGTAATGTATTATTTGTAGAAGCGAGCTATTCGCGGAGAGGTCTCGTCGGTGTCGCGTGGAGGAGGAGTTGGCGCTGGCGCGCGCGGCCGCCGCGCAGCTCCGCGCCGACGCGCACGTACTCGCGCAGCGACGCGCGCACGAACTCGACCGCGCCGGACCGGCCAGTGAGCCTGCCGTCAGTACACTTCACTATGCATTATTATATAGATATTTGTCTGGACATAAATGACTGGTAGACTGCACTGTTCCAAAAAGTTCCATATTCCAAAATTTGCTAGTTTCCTAGATTTAAAATAAATTGTTTCAACATTTCAATGCAATAAGTAATTAAAAAATAATCATACTCTCATCCATTGATTTGACAATTTACCTACTTTTGGAATTTTCTCGCTAATTTTAAGGAAATAAGTATGCTATTTGACGCAGAAATATGATGACGTCATAAGTTACGATCCAATACAAAATTCATAGAAAAGTATCGTTTTTGACATTACAATCAAATTATTGAATTTGACTACCTGTCAACTACCGTATTTAAAAAAATTCTGGACAAAAGCCTCTTCTCACAGAAGTATCGAACGTTGACGTCTATTTTTGCGCTTTCGATTGGCTATTTAAAACTTATTTTAAGTTCAGATTTTTTTGTGTTTGTCCAGCATATGTCTTGGTGTCTTGAATATAAGGTGTTAATAAAGTAACTCTAGGAAATCTAAGGTTTTGTTGTAACATTTATTCCATAATTAATCACGAAAAAATAATTTAACAAAAAGCTACCGTTCTAAAGTTATTCCACTATTTGTGTTACACATAAACAGCCTAATATGCGCGCCGTATGGCGTACTAGGCCGTCGACGAAGCCCCGAGCGACCGCGCTGACGCAGGTGTCGCGGTACCACGCGCTTATGTTACTACTGAACTTAATAATGTTTCATTTTAATAAACGACCACACGACTCTGTTTAGATTATGTTATTTAACTGAATTGATATGCTTATAATTAAAATAGCACAGCTACAATGATTAATTATGTAAATTTTTTGAATAGGTAAATACTAATAATAACTCAACCAAAAACCAATACTTCGGTAGTTAGTAGTACTAGTACTAGGTGGTAGGTTGGTAGTTACTTAGGTATTTATCATTTACAAGTATTCATCGGAATAAATGCCCGTCTCTAGATACCTAAGTATTAACAAAGAGTCTACCTTATTTACAGAAGATGCTGGAACTTGGAAGTGTCTTCCACTTTGTTCGATGCACAAGTTTGAAGTTTGTACGACGCGACGTATTACGTTGTTTTTCACTCGCAATAATGTGTCTCTGTCACTTTTAATAATATCAAACGCGTTTATTATGCTTATTTTTAATTCGTCCGCGTTTCTAATCTCACTACCACTGACGAGCTGCAGATACATTTTCGCCACTTCTAATTTACCACATTAACATGTCTAAGTACTTGCGGTTACTATGCGTAAACTGCATTATTGAATATTGAACAACAAACAATAAAAATGGCGCGTATGATTGATCGGACACAACACTGAACGACACTGTGGGCCACACCCTTCCCGCGCGACAGCTATCGGTCAACTGGCGATCGAGAGAGAGAGAAGTGGGAAAGAGAGCGGGGCAACTAGCGAACGGGAGAGAGGGAGAAAGAGAGAGAGATTGCGATAACATGGGGACGGTGACGGCGCGCCATTGCTTCGCTCGGGCCGCAAGCGCAGCCCCACGTACGGTTTGCACAAAAACATTTAACCAACTCCTTTATTTTTGTCAAAAATAAAAGTTGTTAAAATTGTTAATTTTTTTTTGCTAAACGTGTCAGTTTATTGATTCCCACCAACCTCATAAAATATTTAGAGCGAATTTATTAACACCTTATATAAGTTCGAAACAATTGTTTGATGGGTGATACTAGGTGTAGACACAATAAAAGACTGGGGACGATTAACTTATGTATTGTGCATTTGTGCCTAACACACGACAATTCCACAGAGCATACTAAGACATACTGGACATAGTTTATATAATGACACATCTTTAGTATACGCTATGCCGTTACAATTGCATTAAAAATAATTTAGTAATTAATATAATTTATTGAATTTTCAGAGTCGGACGACAGACTCGGAAGCCACTATAGCTAGATTGAAGAATCAAATTAAGAAATTAAAGGTATGTACCTACTGGTTATATTTTAATTAGGTTTCAAAAGTGCCACGCGAATACTGAAAGGCTACTCAAATTTAAGTTGTACTTAAATATCGTGCCGATCGCAACTATATTTCTATAATATAGTTGTATAGTGAGATTTATTATATTCAATTAAATTAAAATCGTGGGTTACTCACGTGAAAATACTGACAAAAGCACAAAGGGACGATAGGTTGCGCGACATCGCCGCGACCGTGCACGCTGCTCACGAGGAAGAACCCCTCTGTGGTTCGAAACTAGTAGAGCTTTTCTCAGTATATTCACATGACAGAATTATAGATAAGCGTGACCTAAAATTGAGTACCCTTTGAGTATTTCAGCGTTATACTAGTGTAATTGTAATATTCGAGGTAACGGTCGTTATCCCCCCAGGAGGAGCTGTCAGCTCGCGAGTCGGAGGCGCGGTCCCTGCGCGGCACGCAGGCGGGCGCCGCCGCCGCGCTGCGCCGCGCCACCGGACTCGCCGAGACCTCGCTACGGTACTTGTGTTATAACTATTTATTTTATATTTAATGGTGATGGATGCTTTTTGGGGAGAAAGACTAAGGAGTGTGGGATTCGTACCTCATTAAAACCGCCCCGGTGGCCACCCTCAGCACCTGTAAGGGTCCTCCGAAGAGACCTGCTCCGGTCTAAAGAAATATATCAGTGCTGGGATCGACCCTGCGACTCATCATAGTATATCTCATGCGATAACCATTGCGCCAAGCTTGCATCTACTTGTATTATAGGTTATAACTACCTACTTTTGCACGGTCTTATCTAGTGCCCGGCTCTTATTGAACCTAGCGTTATGTCTTATAGCCTATAGCCTTCTTTAATAAATGTACTATCTAACACAAAAATGATTATTCAAATCAGACCAGTGGTTTCGGAGATTCGTTAGTGTGTTAAAACAAACGAACAAACTCGACGAACGAATGGACCGATTTCACTAATTTTTTTTTGTTGTATTCGTTATTATTAGGATAAGGTTCTTTAGACAGAAAAAGTTCTGAAAATATTACGGGAACCGGAGAAAACGGGATTGCACGTACGTAGTTTAAGATGACAGAGATAGACGATATTTCAGCACAAAAGCCTTTGAGTATTAGAACGTTAGATAGCTAATTACGTATGTATCTTTGTTTACAGAGAGCTCCTGTCCGGACTAGAACAACTAAAGACACTCAGTTCTTCCCTAGACCCGACATGATGCAGATCTTCCACCCCCCCCCCCTCCTCACCTCGCCACCCGATAGAGACGGACCATTGTGGTAGGAAATAACATGTAATGCATTACTATATTTATTTAACATCACGACTTTATTTATGTTAAAGGGTAGGCAGTAACAGGTAGTAGATGTTTTTTCTTTCTTTATGTCATAAGTTAAACGAGCAGACGGATCACATGATGGTAAGCAATCGGCGTCGCCCATGGACACCTGGAACACCAAGGCCTTACAAGTGCGTTACAAGCCTCTTGGGAATTGGGAATTTGAGGATTGTGGAGGAATCGAGGATTGGGGAGACTGGGGAGGCTCCCTCTCCTAATTGGACCTCACTCACAGGACAAAACACAACAAAAGCGTTGTTTCACGTCGGTTTTCTGCTCAGCCGTGGTATCGCTCCGGTCGAGCCGGCCCATTCGTGCTGAAGCATGGCACTCCAACACTTAAACTAAATATATACATGGTTGGGTGTCTCTTATGTCGGAATACTGAAACGTTACTCAATTTTAAGTCGTGCTTAGTATAGTTCTATCTCTACAAATTCTTTGTAAAATGACAGAGATGGCACGATATTTGAGCACGACTTAAAATTGAGTAACGTTTCAGTATTCCGGCATTAGAATTGCAAAGTTTGTTTTATTGTAATTATTGTGGACATATTAGTTCAGTTGAACGACTTACTGTCCGACTAAGCAACTCGACTAGTTTCAAGCCAAATCAGGACCTATAATTGCAGTTGATTATAATTATATATATCATCCCTGTATCCCCAACAATCCTCAAATTTCTAGTCCCCAAATGACCGCTAACGCACTTGTAACGCCTCTGTTGTTTCGGATGTCTATGGGCGACGCCGATTGCTTACCATCAGGTGATGCGTCAGCTCGCTTACCGGGTTATCCTATAAAGATTAGGCCCCTGGCGCGGCGCTAATGTCTCTAGTATCGGGATAAAAAGTATACTGTGTTACTCTTTACAAAGTAAACGTTCAATAGTATTATGTGTGAACAATAAAATCTTATCTGTACATTATAAGTACTAAGTACGATTTAATTTTACATTGTTACGTCAAATGAATCTCAAAGTTTTACGAAGATTAGGCGAATATCCAAATCTATCTGATTTTGTCAATGTAATTTCGACTTTATATTAAAAAATAAGGTTGAAATTCCAACACCGAGGTTTGGAGTAGTTAGTCTTTATAACTATCCCTTATAGTCTAGCTATTGCTAGAGTGATTGTTTAATGCGATTTGGAAATTACTCACCAAAATAAACTGAATAGTTTTTAATATTAAAATGTTTAACAAATCATCTCTACCTATCCTTTTTATAAAGGCGTGATGTTATTTTATATCAGTAATTCTACATTATCTCAATATAATATTATCATGGTACATTTTGATTGGATTACAAACTTGAGGTCAGTGACATCTCGTGGCTTGTATAGGAACTATGACAGTAAAACAATAATATTTAGTACGTAATGACTACCTCGTTGATCGAGTAATCAATTACAAAGAATTAACAGTAATCTCCACGCTTGCTCAATGCGGGTTGGCGATTACAAACTTGTTATCAGAAATAGAGATGATATTGGATAGTATGAAAATTAAGAATCTATTTACATACTTCGTCAGTAATGAAATTACCTAGTAGGTAATAAAAAGTATTAGATTCGTATTATTTATTTAATACATAGACAAAACGAATCATAGTTTTGTAGTGGATGCTAGCTACGTCATTTCTAAGTATAAAATGCACCTAGAAATGTCGTCACGCGATATTTCAAATCAATATATCGTCGAGAGTATTTGTCTTCGAAAATAAAAAATACGTGTCTAATGGTTTAAAATAATCTACCAGACGGACATTAAAATAAAAATTTGTCGTCTACACTATTAAAAGGTCAGGTATATGGTTTCGTTCATCGTATGTCAGTGGTGTCTTAATCTTATGAAGTATCATTTGTACCGAGTTTCAACATCCAATCAGAATGCACGATGAAATAGTAAGGCTCCTTGGTAAATTATATATTTTATATAAATAATAGTATTACTACTTCTTCCATTTTAATCTACATATATCCAATTTTTAAAACCAAAGGTTTTGGTGTCAATCAATAGAATTTAGATTATAAACCATATGACTTTAAAGTCGAAATTGCGATACAAAATCTCAGATCAATATCAGAAACTTGTATGGAGATTGTGAAACTGGAATTGCAATTTGGACTATAAAATCATAATCTTAAGACTTGTTTTACCACTTATCGTTAAATCTCTATTAGTTTAAACTGTACACCGCGAGGACACCGGTGACCGCAACCTATTGTTCTTTAATTGTATCTATAATGACGGTACTCAATGAGTTAATTAAAGTATTGGAGATCGGAGGTCGATCCAGCAGCTGTAGCCAAATGTAGAATAGAAAACCAAATTATATGGGATTGACGTAAATTTTGACACTTTTCAGTGTCATCCCCATACATTTAGTTTTCTACTCTCTCTGTAGACAAGCGCTTAAGTGGCGTTAGGCTAAACGCTCTGTTGAGTCGGCTGTTGATACTTGATATGAGCGATGTCAGTGTAGAATACCCCTAGTTCCAATAACTCGAAACTGTCCCGCATTTGATGCGACTAACTTTACAGCGCATTAAATGCCCAGTGAGTCTAGTGAGAGGCTTATCTTCCAAATAATATGATTCTGTAAAGCTGAGCTAGGCAGGTTATAGGCTGTTGATGAAGCTGAAAGAAAGTTAATAATAAGTGGTGAAACAAATTCTTAGGCGATAGAACGAGAGCAGAGATCACTGCTCAAGCAAAGTTAGAAAGAGATGCACATATCGGTTAAATGTATTTGCGTCCCTTTTTCACTGTACTTGAGAACAAGGCGCTTACTCTTGAAACTAATCTCAATATTAATTCAATAAAATTTTAATAATTATTATACACTATACAACCCCAATTGTAACAGCTATAGTTGCTAAATTGCTCGAGTAATATTTTATAATAGTAAAATAATAGTGCGGAATACAAAGCCAAATTCAATATCATTTAGTTCATTCAATATTCACGCAATACGGATGCATTGGGCGCTAGTGTTGCAATTCCATAATATCAATATCGATCGAAATTGTATTCAAGAGTAAGCCCCCTGATCTCCACTGTATAATACCGGTCTGTCATGGTTTATCATCGACACTAGTATGGTCAGTCAGTCAGTCAGTAATGTGTTTATATTTAAGGCTGTTGCAAGAGTTATTTGTTACTGGTTCCTTTCAAAACACATCGGCTTTTATTTTGTTCATTAGATACCGCTATAACGAGGTCCCTTTGTCCAATCCCTGCAGTTGTCAAAAATTAGACAAACAATTTGACTCCATTGTCAAATTGATCACTAATTTTCAAACTACTAGCTAATTGTTTATTGGACAAACAGGTCGCTATACTAGCGACACCTAGTGAGCAATTTTCTGCCGCCGTATAGAAAATTAGTTCAATTTTCATATGAATGATGCTAAGTAGCCATTATTGGTCTATTGTAATTTTAAAAAATCAAAGTTGAAATGTCTCTCAATATAGTAAGTCAAGTTAGACACTTCTAAAGTTGATTTTTTTTACAAAATATCTTCTTTAAACGTAAAATCAAAGACACTGGGTCTGTTTTTTTTTATTTAAGATTGTATTGTAATACTTAGGTACTAAAGTCTTTTTTTCTTTAAATGTTGGACGTTTATGCCTTTATTAAAATCTTTCTTTGCAATTTAACGAATGTTCGTAATAATATTATTCAAATTGATCCAGCCGTTTTCGAGACACATTCAAAATAGAAGTTTATCTTTGTCTAAATTGATATTGTATAATCAAACAATACAATTAACGGAACTAAATTAATAAATAAACGACAAAAACACAAGTTTTCGTATTTTATAAATCTGTAAATTTAATGATAATTAATTCAACAATATTTTTTTGAAATCATAAATATCCGAATTTTGTTATAAATCAAAATTATGGTAGTAATATACAAATTAAGTTGCATTATTTTTCATCAAATATATCCTATGCCATTAAACAGAACGTAACAATATTTTGTATTGTATTTAAAATCTAAATGGGCGTCATATAACAAATAATAACAAACAGTTTCACAAATGTCTGAGGGTCGATTTTCAATCATCAGTTAATTCCTAACCTTAGAATAAAATTGACTTTAGACAGTTTTTAGTGCGGTAGCATTGTCAAAGTTATTCCTCAGTAAAATTTATCTGGCGTTGGGGAAAATCGGCCCTGATTGAGTTGCTGATAGTGTGACTGACGGATAATTTGATATATTTCATGTACGATATGTGCCCAATTACGAGTCAGGGCCTTTAGCCAAACGCCATTTTAGCGTTTGTCTACAGAGAGAGTAGAAATCAAAATGTATAGGGATGACACTGACAAATGGCAAAATTTACGTCAATTCCATATAATTTTGTTTTCTATTCTACAAGTAGACAAGCGCTAAATGGTATTTGGCTACAGCTAGCAGCTCGCAGCTGCTGGTAAGCTAAAACCAACTTAAGATATTTTAAGACATAAGGGACTGTTGTTTCAAGGTATCCATATTTCATGAATCTGGTTTAAGCTAACATTCCTTCATTATCGTATACCTTATCAACTCTACATTATCTTCAATTTCAGCCTAGTACCATATTTGTAAAATTGCAGTTAGATCAGACTAATACTTCAAAGAAAATGTGTATAATAAAACAAATCCAAAATGCTTTATTTTGCTACGAAATGATGTCGAATACTTGATTAATATTATATTGTTAGACGTATGTTAAATGGAACTTCACGAAATTGTAAATACGAACAAAATATATTTTTGTGTGCCATTGAGGCTGTATTAATTTACATGGTAGACAGACAGCTTGATATATATCAGTATGAATGTTTTCCTGCCATCAGATGACTTCATATCTTAATTATATGTAGATATATGTGTTTCGTGTAAAGTCCGATGTTCTCTAAATAATTAAAAACTAATTTGTGCTTGTTCAACAAATGTTATTGTACATTAAACTGTGATTCATTATTTTAATCTGTGGTTCTTATTTCTCCTTTACCCTTTAACTGTTGTTGAAGACCTAAAGAAAAACTGCTTAATTGCGTCTTCGTTTGTGGGAAGCACTGGAGGAGTCCCAGAAAATGATGGCA